CACTTATGTTTTAAACTTATACATCAACACAACATAAAACAACTTATCACACAGCAAACACAATGAAATAGTAGGTACTGATTCTGAAAAGATTCACCTGAAAACAGAACGAAAACAAAAAAGGTTAGGTAAAAGTATAATATAACTGAAACTGTCGAAGTGACTATCACACACCAAACATGGAGGAGGATAAATAACCAATAAGATGAAGAAATACCAACAAGATTTACTTTTTATTCTCGTTATTCATCGTCGTCGCAGTACTCAAATTCAACCTCAGGAATGTGTTGGACTTTGTAGTAACTTTCCCCACCTGGTACTAATTTCTTCTTCCACCCCTTCATACCTGTGATTACCAGTTTCTTTAAAGAAGTTATATACTTGAGCCCGTCCGGTACCTCCTTCAACTTTTTGCAGCAGTCTATCGTCAAAGTACGAAGACATGGCATCGACCCTTCTTCTACAACCCACTCTTCTAACTCGTCTAGCTCCAATATTAGCTCACATAATTGAGGGAATCCACCTTTTGAACACACCATTCTCCTCCCCACGAAAGCATGGTACGATAATTCAGCCGACTTTAAATGAAGCAACTTTTCCAGAATCGGCAGTGGATCCTCCTCTATCCTACAATCACTTAGAGATATGTTTGCAAGGTTGGGAGGGAATCGAGATTGATCAGGAAACCTTGGCATATGCACGAAAAGCGTTAAATCTCTTAGATGAATGAAATCCCCAACGAAATCCACTTGATAAGCCCCCCCATGGGTTGCAAGGTTCCGATCAACTAAATAAAACGTCTCCAGGTTTCTTAATTCACGGAGAGATGACTGTAGAGTTTCAGAAGTACAATTGCGATCGGAAAATACAGAGAGAGTTCTGAGCCTAGTCATACCGAGGAGGTCTGTGACATTACCCTGTTTTGTTGGGAAATGCCACAAGGTCTCCAGGTTCACTAGATTACCCAATTCCAACTTTGTATTACTGTCTAAAAAACCCTTTTCAGAACTCTTAGGAAATGTTTGTCGAAACTCCCTTTGCACCCTTTGTCTCTCTTGTAGAGACAGTGAACGACCACCATCTATCTTCTGTATTATTCCAAAATTCTGCATTCGCGCAATCACCTCGGAGATCCTCTCAGTTATGCCTTCAATGTCTGTAGCAAACCTTCGGCGATCCACCAAGAAACAAGAAAGTCTTTTCACGCGCTTCTTGATACCTTTTTCTTTTATTTCTTTGAGAAGAAAGGATTCGATTATATCCTCAGCATCATCAACAATGTCTTTGACATCTTCCAACAAGTTTCTCACTCTTTCACTCTCATATTTCTTGGCATATGCATCGTTCAACAGTGACTGTAATGTTCTCGTATGACGTTTTAGTCCAGCAACTTGCTCATCAACTCCCTGCAATCGCTCAGATTCTCGACTCAGGAGCTCCCAGAGTTTTTGCACTCCAAACGACACAACTCCCTCAGTTACAGCCGCAGCCATAACTATTCTCCTGTTTTATCGTCAACACATAAGCAACAAAATAGTATAAACTTGTAGCAAGATCTAATTACTAGAAATGAGAAATGTTTGGTTAATCTAATAAGACATGATGATACCTTCCCGATGAATTTATTTTCTACTTTTTTAATTCAAATTTCATACACACTAATATAAAGATTTGCCTAAATGATTCAGGTGCGTCAAATTCGTGATACAAGATCCGACCACAACAGAGTTCTATAGACAGATCAAAGCGCGTTAATTACGCAGAAAAAAAATAATAATGTTGTAAAAAAAAGAAGACGATCTACCTTTCATGAATCAGCTCTGCAACTCGCTTGTGGTAGCAGCAATGAAAGAATTGACTCCAAGTCAATCTTATCAACTCGCTTGTACTTCTTTGGGAAGAAGAGAGATAAGTGGCAATGAAAGAGTTGACTCCAAGTCAATCTTATCAACGACCAACACATTGGCTTAACAGTATCTTATGAGTCTATGACCAATGACCGATTGCCACCTGTGGTTATTGTTTTGAACAAGAAATTTTATCTTTCTTTTTTTTTGGTCATCTAGTTGTCATATTGAAACCTAGCCATGCACAGCAAAATGGCACGTCAAAAGGCATTTAACTCCGACGAAAAGAAACTACTAAAAAGGAAGGAGGATTAGAACTGAAGAATCTTCTAATCAACTATTCCGGTGACTGACGCTATCTCTTGCTAGTGGCTTGGCAAGCAACGGTTTACGAGCTATGGTCGGAACGGAACACAGGTCTGACGATTTTATAACCGCAAAATTTTTTCATTCTTTGTAGTGATGATTCAAGTTATAGATATTTGAATTTTTCATGATAATTTATTTGGAGATCGAGGAGACATAAATACAAAGTAGCATCCTCCAAAGCTTTTGTTAC